TAGAGAGTGCGAATGGGGTTAATATAGTTAACTGATATTTGGCCAAAAAAACAGTAGTTAACTGATAACTGGCGAAAAAATTAGCAGTTACCTGATAAATGAAAAGTTAACAGTTAAGTGATATTATATTAATGTTAATGAAAGCAACAAAGTTTTGCAAACAGAAATGCTATTTTCTGACATTTTTCTGTCCCGCTGATAGACCCGGTGGCACATTAACTGATATTACTATGTGCAAAAGGCACCAGGGCAGTACCCGACAAACTGCAGAAAGCGTCAGTCAAAGAGCTGGTTGTAGACAACTCAACGAATAATTCGTCTTCTGTGTCTTAAATAGAAAATACTGTTTTTCGGACCCAAAAGATTGTCAAGTCAAGCATTGGATCTGGCCAAAAAGAAAAGCATTTCTGAGGGTTCAAAGAAATCGGCAATCTTTCTTTTAAGTACATGGAATTTGTACCTACGAGAAATCATTTTTTTAACTGATGTTGGAGTTCTAACTTTTGAGAATTTTTATAATAGAAAGAAAAGCTCGTGTTTAAACCGGTCTTTCTGAAACACTTTCGGCAGTTTCATTTCATCTGTCTTAAAACCCTTGGATATCTTTTTCAGGGTTTTGAAATACGCGAAAAAGTTACGTCCGCGAAAAAGGTATCATTGAGGGACGAGAAAGAGGATGTCGACAAAATTTTTATCGAGGTACAAAAAACTTTTGACATCGCAGGTGGAAAACCTACACGCGGTTTCTCACTTCAACACAGAACATTTAGTGCGTTGAAATACGCTCAATTAAGACTTTGGAATCACAGTAAAGGATTCGCAAAAGAACTAAGAGTTCGAAGTGGGCTACACTCACGAAAAGTCGAATTGTCCCGTGTCAAATGCTTTCATGTCTTTGTCAGCACTCTCAACTATGTCTCTACCATCGGTGCAAACAGTGATTGAATTCACCAGTTGAATTCCAGAAATATTCATGGTCCAGTTTGTTATTTAAGACTATATTTTGGCATTGATAATATTTCTCGTCGTTTGTTGCAATGGATTTCAAGGATTAAAAACGGATTGAAACTTAGGCCAACAACAAGATACAGGACATACAGTAACCCGAAAAGTACACGACTGATTCCGATCAGATAATGAAAGTGCCCGAAGAAGGTGACTTTGAAGTAGTTTATGGCAGGACATGCAAGGCCATGTCGGGAAGATCAGTCACGAGATCATGACTGGTGTGTCTGGATCTCTGACGCCGGTGTCACATTGATGGTTATGCGACTTATATTTTCAGTTACTAATAAATTGTACTAGTGGCAGAGTTCATGTAAATGTACACCTTGATTTTAGTAGGGCCTACTCCCCAAAGTGACTTACTTGCTGAAGGAAGAAAAATTCGGGTTATGACGGAATAATATTCGCTGATGGAAAGTGAAAGTTAATAGCTAACCAAAATTAGTAGTTAACTGATATTCGGCCGAAAAAATGGTAGTTAACTGAGAATTTGGTACCCCCATTAGGACCCTCTAGTTAGCCTGTCCCAGGCTCCAAGATAGTAATGCAGTGGTGCAGTAAAAAGTCGCTCGTTTTATTTTCGCGACGTCTCCACTTTCTACAGAGAACCTGGACAGGCTACAGAATCTGAGTAAGTTCTTCAGCCCGTCAGTAACAACTGAAAAGGCCGACGAACTGCTCTCAAGTTCAGGACGGAAAAACGTTCTGCGCAAGCTTCTGCGCATCCCTTATCGCAGGCTCAAGGCAGGAATTTTCTGTGCGTTGACTTTGTGCTTGTTTGTTGCTGGAGTTCTGAGTGAAATGCACGAGGTGCGACAGTTTGCTCCTTGTAAAGCAATTTTATTTGACATGTTTGCTTTTTTTTCGTCGCTTGAAAATTACTTTGGATTCAGAACAACCAATGTTAAAGGAAAAAAGGATCATTCCGTCGGTCTGAGGTGGAATAAAAGGTTTTGAACATTTCTAAAGAGGCGAGTATTTTTTCTGATTGTACATCCGAATAATTTATGAGTTGATTTCGCCGGGTTGAATTAAAACCTGCTTGTATTCTGTAATTAGTAGTTACGGTTACTTTTTTTACATGTCCAGATTTATTACCTTTGCAGAACCAGCTTTATCTTTGTCTTCAGTCAAAGAACCATATTGCTTTTATAAGGCATCAGAGTGAACAAACTTGTGCGCTTATTAAACTTTCTAGGAAATAGAAGGCCAGCAAGCTTACTCAAGATCATTTTTCATTTCATAGTTTTGTTTTCCAGTGCACTGTGAAAGTTTCTGTTCTTTATAAGAATAACTTTCTGTACGCAAATTGTCCTTTTCGCTCGCTTTAAAGTAGACGACAACTGCCGGCAGTGACTTCAAAAACAATTGACTCTTCTTCCGTAAACAATTGCTGCAGCTGGATTTGACTGAGGCGAGCAAAACAAACCCTTATGTGCAATTTTCTGTATTTTCTAATGATCGGCTGAGTTTAATTTGCTTAAACGAAGACCCTCGCATGGACCAGTTAAGCTTATTGAAAATAAGTAAATGGTGAATCATGGCTTGACTGCCAAGTTGCAACTGATCTTTTGCGTTTAGGTAGGTTGTTTTCGTACAGAAAATTCATCTCTTCATTGTCAGCAAGAAGTTTTTGAAATAATGTAACTTTAACTTTGTTTGAACGAAATCCTAATTACGCGTAGGTTTTTGACAGATGTTATATGCGTGTTCAACTTGACAAAACAAAGCAAAATTTATATATATGTGCGCGAAACGAGCAAGTTTAAAGAACTATAGTTGCTTTGAAACCGATTTTTGGGAAGATTTTACTAGATAAAGATTGACCTTTTTTCTGCCCACATATCAACGCAATAACTTCTACATTGAGGATTTCGTTTATATCTTAGTGATCTGCGAAACTGCGATTGCCAGCTCGAGTGCGACAAAGTTCAGTGACTTCAAACACATTGTGGGCAAGCGTTAATTTTTTTGGGCAAATCACTGTCCAAAGATGTGTTGATTTTGTGTCCACAGTGGAGCTCCGGACCTTATATATCCAGGAACTTCCTTATATGAACACATTTTGTGAATGCATCTTGAAAAAAGTCGGACTTACGTATGCACATTTCCAGTACAACGCAAGGAAATTAATGTCGTTAAAGTCCGTTTTACCATGAGGTATTCTTCGGGAAAATTAAGTAACGACAAGGTTATAACCACAGCTTGCAACTTTTGAAGATAAAATGCCAGTTCTTTCCAGGTTATGAGTGGAAACATTTTATTTTTAGGCAATAAAATATTTAAAATTCCGCCATTTTTTCAAACCCGGCCAGGGGATCTGAGCAAACAAGTTCACGCATGCTCATTACGTTTTTCCGCCTTGAAGCTCTCAAGTATCTTAGACCGGCGAGTAACCTCGTTCCCAGGGTTCTTTCCTAAAGTCTCTCTCTCTCTCTCTCGCTCCGTAGGGCAGGTAGGAGAGAACCCTGGGAACGATGGGTTGGCAACCGCGTTGAAAATGTACATTCTATGTTGAGATTACACAACAGGTTTGCTCTCATAGAAGTCCGCTGTTCTGTAAGAAAATTGTTTTCGTGACCTTACGTGACAAAGTGGTGTGACAATGAGGCAATTGCTTGCGCAATATGTAATGACCTGGGACCCACAATGACTTTGCTTTATTATCGGACTCACGTTAAATTCTTATACATTAATACTCATAGTTTGGCCAAGATCTGTTGTGACTCTGAGTGTCCTTTCATGAGGTAGTGTGTTAGTTCTGCAGTTCCAGAAGGCTCGTGGCAATTCTAAACTCATTTCATCGAGATCAATACTTTTTATCGAGCTACTGTCACTGGCAGAAGGCGGTTCCAAATTGTCTAGCCTACGAATACAGCCGTTTCTCATTCATTCATTTCCCGCACATTGAATACATGTTCAGTTCCGCTGAACGTTCCCGGCGGCGGCTGTATCTGCAGGCTACGAATCAGTTATTGGGAGGCCAGAAAAACTAAGAAGGATCGACTGATCGCAGGTTAGCGTGCCACAGGATCACCCGCTTTCAGTTCTTTACTTTCTTCCTTTTTTTATTTATAATTTTTATTTATTTATTTGTTTACATATTTCAGTTTTCTTTTCGTGCGTACTCCTTTACGCGGGGTCGAACTCAGATTTGTCCACTAGGTTAGAAAACTGTGGAAAATAGTTACCGTCAACTTTTTGCGCTCTGGAATCAGAAAAATCGGGTTGTCCCTTTATTCAAAATAGGCAGTCATTTCTTCTCTCCCGTCTCTATACGGATAAAGTATTACTAATAAATTCGCTTTCCCTAGGTGGCTGACTGCACAATCATCTGAATCATGTTCATGTATTTCGATTGCTGTTATAGGTTTTTCATATACAATGTTAAACAAAAGTCAATCGTTTCAGCAAGATGCAACTATTTTACTTCCGTATTTTAGTTCGCTCGTTTCCATCGCGCCGTGACAAAATGCTAATCAAACGTTGTTAACTGCCATATGGTATTTACTCTTACTGACAGTAGCATTATAGGTAGAGCCGATTAATGCGAATTATACCACGCAATACAGGGTGATAATAACGCAGTGCTGTATAAAAGATAAATAAAATTAACAATTCTTCAGAACTTAGTATGGATGCATTTTTTATTAAAAGTTGTTTTTATCGTCCTTAAAAACACTGGGAATCATATGCATGTAAAGACACTATATTTGATTATGCAATTCGACAATTGATGCAAATTTAATTGGGAATCACGCACCATAATACATGTCGGATGAAAGAGTATTCAAATAAACCTATACTAACTAAATTGAAGGGGGTTCTACCTGCCGAGTTAATACCCTTATTCCATAAAAAAATTGCGTTACTTAGGACTCCCATTTTTTTGACAGTGCCCCAATCCCCGACCCCAAACCCTTCCCCCCACCTCACCCCACCCTTCCATTTTTACTTCCTTCTGACTCTGTTACGTCACAAGCGCGAAAAATTTCATGCTTATATTAACCTGGCGGATGTTCTTTCCTATGATATCTGGCTACTATATATCACAGCTTTTCAGTTGTGGTGTAAGTGAAAGGCTCATCTGTTTCTGCGTCAAATTCAACGGATTATTCGTTGTACTGTCTCATCCAGTCGCCATGAAAGCTTCCCCGACAGTAATTACACGTTACAGTCTGCGTCTTGTGGCTTTGTTTGTGATGTGCTGTGCCATTTTGGTTCACCTCTCTGCCACGAATGAAATTCGGTCCGAGCAAAGTCAAAGAGAACAAATTGTCGACCGAGTGTTTGATGATGGCGCTAAAATTGGCGATGGTGAAAAACGTACCTTGTTGCATCGTCAGCGAAAATCAGCTAAAAATAGTATGATGGCCAGTCTGTCGGAGGTACAAAAAAGGCTAACAGCCATAGAAGAAAGGTAAGCTCTCCGTTTGCCGTGTTTTTTTTTGTTTGTTTTTTCAATTTATCAGAGCGGTGATACTTTTTGACTGGAACACTAGTTTTTACGCAACTGAGATTCTTTGCGAAATTACTGTGCAATCTTATCAACTGTAACTGTTGATATTCGGAAAAATTCTCACCCTCGTAAAGTTTTCGAGAAAATATACTGAGGCCATTGTAAATTTAAAAAAGGCTTTAGTTGCCCTAGGATGACGCCGAACAGATATAAATTTATTAGCACCGCTTAGAATAAAATGTCAAGAGATGTAAAAGTAATCTCTATATATAGTCTAAAAAGCGTTTTCAATGTATTTTTAGGAGAAACCCGTAGTTGGGTGCCCCTGAATTATCACGCCGGCCACCAGCAGCTATTAATTCTCGCATATATATTATAGTTAGTGGAAAAAAGTTGTCTATTTGCAAGAGAGGGTCTAAAACACAAGCTAAGGCGTGTGATCTATAGAGACATCGAAACTTGGCAAAAATGAGCAACTTTCAAAAACAGTCTAAACTAAGTAAAATGGAAGAGCCATAAAGAAAAATATCATCACCGAATGGATCTATAAGGGCTGATGAAGAAGACGTATACCAGGCAAAACACAAAGAATCGAAAAAAGTAATAGCCCCAAAAAGAGGCCTTTTCGAAAAGGAAGCTTATTTCAATAATCTCACCGTATCTTTAGTCCATTGAATACAGTGAAATTTTCTAGCAGGGTTTTTAGCTAAAATTTAACAACAGAAATGGCATTAACTTCAAAGGACCGCAAGCGAATATTTCGCAGGACGTAGGATCTAAAGAAAATCTGATAAGCAAAAATATACCAAGAGAACATAAATCTGCAAAGCTGATCGTGCTAAGTTGTTATAAACTTTGGAAGACATTAACACGACACCGATAAAAATTTAAAAGGGCAGCAGGCTTGTAGCTATTTATTAACCACCATGAACACTTCCAGTTAGTCTTTCACAAGTCGCGCATTAATTCATAGTAAGTACAGCTAGTAGTCAACCAATCAAAAAATCCTCGATCATTTATTCAGTTTCAGGCGGTGATTAGTCTATCCACCCTCCCTCCCTCCCTCCCCCTCCATCCATCCATTCCTTTCTTCCTTCTTTCCTTCCTTCCTGTATTCATTCATTCATTCATTCATTCATTCATTCATTCATTCATTCATTCATTCATTCATTCATTCATTCATTCATTCATTCATTCATTCATTCATTCATTCCTTCATTCATTTATTCATTCATTCATTCATTCACTCATTCCTTCCTTCCTTCCTTCCTTCCTTCCTTCATTCCTTCATTCCTTCATTCCTTCATTCCTTCATTCCTTCATTCCTTCATTCCTTCATTCCTTCATTCCTTCATTCCTTCATTCCTTCATTCCTTCATTCCTTCATTCCTTCCTTCATTCATTCATTCATTCATTCATTCATTGCCGTAAAATAACCGAAAATATCGTTATATCGGGGTAAAATGAACATGTACTTTTTTTACTACATATTGTTTAATTAAACTTGTAATGAGTATCAAATGACTAACAAATGTAGAGTTTCAAGCACGCAGCAATGTCGTTAAACAATTTGCAAAGCATTAGACGTTATCAAGGTTACACAACAAAGTCTGTGGTATGAATCGTAAAAGGGAAACAAAACAAAACTTAAACATTTGAAGTTGCGACTGTAATCATCTTTACTTTTCGTTGTTTGCGTGTTCATTGTTTTTCTTTTTTAACAGACACTTGTTCATTAATTAAAGTACTCTTCAAGGTTGGTTTGCCTCATTTGTTTTATTTGGAATCTTGAAAACGCATCCCCCATCGCTGAAAGAGAGGAAAGGAATTCTCTCTCTCGTTCGCCCGAATCATCCAACGTATTAATAAAATCTCTAATTGCTTACCTTTTGTCACAAGAAGGAGTCAAAAATACTAAAACTCAGAAAGAACTATTAAATGACAAGGAGGATAAAAGAGGCATCGTAAACTGAAAGCTGTTGACAGAAACGTTACAGATTACTGTACTCGATTACTGTATAAATGTTATTGTATTAAATCACTGTTTTGTTTAAATTGTATCTGTGTACTGATACTGTAATATCGTTATATCGGGGAAGATTTTACGCTCGATGCACTAAAAACTCATCGTTATATCGGGAATATCGTTATATCGGGGTTCTGTCCCATACATTTTACTGTAACTTTTCCCGGGACATAGCATACTTATCGTTATACCGGGGATATCGTTATATCGAGGATCGTTGTATCGGGGTTCCACTGTATAACGCTTGTGTTCGAACAGTGCTTTTTTTTTTTTTTTTTTCATTTTGTGCTTTTTTTTTTGACAGACATAATAAAAGTGCAAGTTTGATGGAAAAGCGACTTCAAGAAATGGAAAAGCGGTTTATAAAACGGTGCGTATACTGTAGGTGTATTAATCAATTACCCATGGAAACTTCACAGTTTCTTCTTAATCTTTTGCGATTTAACAATGAATTTATCTTTCTACAGACTCGACGCATTGGTGCAAACACCGCACTCAAGTGACTCGTCACTATTGTCCTACCTACTTGGTTTGTACACTAGTGTTAAAAAAGGAATGGCCACACTGTAAAATGCAGACTGACTAGCCAATTGGTCGCATAACAGAGCACAACCAAATGCTGCCTAAATTAAAAATTGGGCTGACAGCCTTTGGCGAAAAAAACAAAAAACAAACGAACGAACGAACTAACGAACCACAAAAGAGAAAGCAAAAACAAACAAACAAACAAACAACATCGAAAGACGATTCCCAGTTCCCTTGCAATTGTAAGGTCTATTACTTTATGAAAATTTGGTTTCATTTTTTCAATGTTGGATATGGTGCATTCGGATTTTTAGACCATCCATTAAGCCCCTTTTATTTGATAAAATGACTCAATGTAACGCCTAAATATCTTTGGCTATTGTTATTTAATTGGAACATACATTTAGTATCTCTTCAATATACGTGTTTCAGTGCGAGATGGCCGCAATTACGGAAAACAATCAATGGGACCACCTGGACCCCCAGGGAAGCCAGGAGTAAGAGGTAAGCAAGATTTGTCTACCGCTTTATGTCGGCGTTACCAGTTGTCTACTTTTTGTAAGGTATAGGGCTGCCTCATAGAAAATATCTAAAAGCTAACTTAACTAGGAGGGCATTAATAAAACTAATAATGAACTATTTCAATTATAAATGAGGTTGTTAAATGGAGGTGCACATTTTAATACAGCTGTACTAGCTCTCTTAGTTATAGTTCTGTCAGTAAGAAGGAAGCAAGGTGAGAAAGCTTACCTCATCTTCACATGTACACTTCTACCATCAAATTAGTCCGTGATAAACTCAAGTTAATGTCTAATGTTTAGCTTTTGTAATGAGCCTCTCAGATTTGTTGATATTGTTTTTCTTAACCAAAATAAAAATTTTCACTGAAGTATTCCCATATGATAGACTGATGGTCATAGGAAAAAAAAACATGCATTCTTGATAATGATTGTCGTAATTGTGTCCCTCTAGGTCCTAAAGGGGATAAGGGAGCTCAAGGAGTTAAAGGCGATAAAGGACAAGCTGCCAGTTCTGGGGTGAAGTACGTTCGCTGGGGAAAGACCACATGCCCTAATGGTGCTCAGATTGTCTATAAAGGTACAAAAAGGCGATGACGTTATCCTTCATGTAATTTATGTATTCAACAAAAGGAAAATCAAATTAAATAGGAAACAGGAACCAATTTAATCACAATATCTCTTCATTTTCTTTATTCTAGCAACGGGACCGAGATAGCATGTTCAAGGATTTTATGAATCCCTCATACTTCTAATTATAATTTTTAATTTTAAAGCTTATATAATATTTGGTAGCCTTTTAGGACCAAAGGTACATTGCCCAACAAAGCTATTAAGTTCTATCCCAAGTCAATGCGTTTTTCAGAACGTTAAGAGGAAGATGGTTCGCAACACTGTTACTCATAAGTTTGAACGTCTTATTCTTCATGACTGGAATTTCTAATTTCGCAAGTCATTCACTTAACTTCAAAATGGATGTTTTCAGAGTTTTTAGTTGAATTGAGTTAACAGATCCCTAACTTTTCTACTTATTAGGTATCATGGGTGGAGAGCATTACACTCACACTGGAGGTGGAGTTAACTACCTTTGCCTTCCAAAGACTCCAAAGTACGACAAGTACAAAGATGGCCACCAGGGTGGCGGATACGTATACGGCGCTGAGTATGAACTCTCGTTTAACCCATTCAAGAAAAGTCTTAGCCAACACGATCCACCTTGCGTTGTCTGCTTTGTCAAGTCACGTGGTTCGATGCTGATGATGCCTGCAAGGAACGATTGCCCCACTGGATGGACCGAGGAGTATCATGGGTACCTGATGACTGAACATTATAGCCACAAGAAGCAAGTTGATTTCATCTGCGTTGACAAAGACGCTGAGTCTGTCCCTGGCAGTCAGGCAAACAAGAATGGTGCATTACTCTTCTTTGTGGAAGGAGTGTGTGGCAACCTACCATGTGGTCCCTATGTCAACGGTCGAGAGTTGACTTGTGCTGTGTGCACCAAGTGAAAGAAATAATTTTTTTTTCTACTGTGGGTTTCAAGGGGCAAAATGTGATTTTTAAAATGAACTGTATAACCTATTTCAGAAAATTTAAACACATAATCTGCTTAAAGCAGCCCATTTTCAGTTGCTGATTATTTCAGTTCAGCCAGACAAATTGGCGGAAAGTAGCTTGAGTAAATCATAAAAGAAATTAATTGGTAAATCCATGGCAAGAAGAAATTTGTCTCCTTCGCTGCATGATGAAAGGACTGAAGAGTTCAATCGCTTAACACGATAAGCTAATACGCGTCAGCATTCAGAATCTGTTGGTAACTGTTGAATTATCAAAATAAATGAGATGATTTTTTTCCACTCATGACTTATGTTATTTCTGACGAATGAGCCCGCGAAGAAGGCAGAAATAAATATTTTGACGGCACGAGATACAACAGGGCCTGGGTACTAGGCCGGGTGCACCATGGGTAGCCATATCGGGGGTATATAAGGTTGCGTATATCACGTGTTCGTCATCTAGGCTTACGAACCAACCTCTCCTTGGTTTTTCTTAACGTTCTTATCGGCTCTTTCTTGCGTTATATCCGTCAGCAAAGACGAAGTGTCCGATCTCATTGAGGAGAATAACAAACAGTTAATGGACTCGTTTAAAGTTTTGTTAACGGAAACCGTTGGTCAAATCAAGCGCGCTAATGAATATTTGGCCGAGCAGCAGATGAAGGAAATTAAGAAACTAAAGTATAACGAACCACGTAAGTTCAAGAAGAAGGCCAACGAAAACCAGTTTTAAAGGATCCACAGTGCAGAATTTTGCGGCTGTGTAGCGTACTAGGCCCTTAAGAAGAAGAAGACCACTCAAAAACAGATCCTCGCCAGTGGGAACGCCGGCGTCCACCTCAACTTCACGTATGCAACCCCAGCCTCATGTCAAACGTTCCTGTTTTAATTTTCGCCTTCTCGACGACCCAGTGTCGGGACCTGTTTTGCCCGTGGAAAGCGTTCCTGTTACCCGACGATGAACAAGCCAAACATCCCAAACTCCCAAATGGCTAGATGAAGGACAACAATCAGGTGCAGTCTATTCTAATTTAGTACTGAATTTTTTAGGCGGCAAGCCGTAATATGGATCAGGATTGTCTCGATATTATACCAGTTTCTTCTGACGTTCACCCCGCTAGTTTTAGGCGCGGTTTAGAGCTCTGAGTGTACCGTTGATATTTCTATTCTGCCTTCAGTTTGGGGAAGATTTTTCACAGTTATCTATTTCTGGCATACTTTGCTAGTTTCTCTGTTCATTTTGAATGTTTTTAGTCTTAGTTACAAATTCCCTTCTTCCAGCTTTTTATGTTTTTTTTTACAAATCCTACAATGCCTCTGCACGTGTTTACAGTTCTTTTTGTCCGTAGCTGTTAATGAGCTTCCCAGCCTCAACCTCCTTTTAATAATTTTTGCATTCCAATATCATTTACCCGCTTTCTGTTTGACGCGCCGCTCCGGCTAACAAAGGTTAATCCTGGATTTTAGGCACGTTTGCACTTTTTTCTTCAAACAGAAATTCAAGTGCGAAGACTTGTGCATGGCCACTTATATTTTTGATATGGGTTTTTATTTATTCATATTTATTCATATTTACCTCTAGTGCGGTTATCGTAATTTTCCCTGATCACCAGTATTTCCTTGCGTTCACCTGGGATCTCGGCACCTGGGTTTTTAGGTATTTTCTACTTTGCGCGCTTCCCTTTGGGTTCTTGTCAGCCTCCCTCAAACCGCTTCAGAAATCTAGAAGAAGCCAAGGTATCCCTATTGCCATTTTTCTTGACTATGGTCTAGCTATAGGAGGAGGAACCTATCGCGTTCAGGCCTTAATTTACAGTTTGCGGGCTGCCTATGCCGATTTGCTTTAGTCTCGCTTTGTTCGAATTCCTATGAGGAAAAGTCCCTGTGGGAGCCCGTTCGAATTTTCTAGTGGCTTCGCGTTCATCTCAACATAACACTCTGGATGGAAGTATTAGAGCCACGGATGAACGTATTGCTAAATTGTCTCGCGACCTGGCGGCTTTGTCTTCTTATTAGTCGTCCACCACAGTCCACGTTCTACGCGTCCCGTGTGTAGCCGCTCATAGTATTTCCCTCTCGAGTAGCGTGGGATCCGTCGCGTGCATTATGGCCCGATTTCTTTTCTCAGTTGTTTACTCAGCTGTTTCCTGGGATAGCTAGGTTTTCCTGTCCGTTGATTCTTTGTATGTGATTGAATTTTGGTCGAATTATGTTAGCCTCTCTACGGCCTAATTTATCGAGGGGTCCCAGTTCGCTTCCAGTGAGAGTAAGCTTCGGCTTCTCCGATGCTTCCGATTCAGCCTGCGGCGTTTAAGTGGAGTCTGAATCTGAGTTGATTTTTTATCAGAATTGGTCGGAAAGTGTTCGTAGATCGACTTGAAGAGAGCTCAAAGCGGTTTGTCTTGCCTTACTAGCCTTCGCGAGCCCTTCATCTAATTCCAAGGTTTTTTGGTATTCTGACAACCAGAACGTCGAATCCATTCTCCGCGACGGCAGCAGGAAATGCGATCTCAAAGAATTTAGCCCTAGTTGCTTTTCAAATTTGCTCCCATCATTGTATTTCGTTCGAGGTCAAGTGGATCCCTAGGGACCTGAACGCTAGTGCGGTCTGTATCTGCAAACTCGTTGACTTCGATGGTTACGGCCTCAACGATTTTGTTTTGCTAGGGCTAAATCACCTCTTAGGTCCTTACATTATTGACAGGTTCGCCTGTAGTTACAACGGCGAGTTGCCTTGGCTTAACTCTCTATTTTTTCAGCCAGGCTGTTAGGCTGTTTATGCCTTCGCTCAAAATTGGGGATAGGACAACAACTGGCTTGGCCGACCTGTTTGCCTCATTGTCAGAGTCATGTATATCAGACACATTGGGCTCTGCGCGCTCACGGGAGCCCTTATTCCTCACGTATGGAAGTCAGCTATTTTCTGAAATGTTTCTACTAGAGATGGAGTGCATTTGAATAGTTTTGTTGTGGACTGGGTTTTATTGCTTAAGTTCCAGGGATTATTTGTTCCAGGGAAGGTCCGTAATTCCCTTTTCAGAACCAGGCCTTTATTTTTTGGCGTCATAGCGCTTCGAGTCTATTTTCGGCGCCCCACACCTCCCTCGTCCCTGGCGGGCTTCTGCTCTACGCCGCCTGACGGAAAGTGTTGCCTGTGCCTCTACACGCGTGTTATGCGTACCTTTAGGTTTGGACCCATTAGGTTTTTGCATGTAGCCTTTTGACCCCCCACTGCCCTTTTCCGGTGTTTTTTCTTTTTTATTGCGTGATCTTCACATTTTCTTTTGTATTTTCGATTACTTTTCAGATATATTCCGCTCTGGTTTCTAGCGCGGGCCCCAGAATTTCCCACCAGAGGGTTGAACCCTGAGGCTGACAGACAGTCTACAATGCAATCGACGGTTCTCTCCTCAAAGGCAGTTAGTACGACAGTGGTGTACCTTCGTGCTTCTCGCAAGTAAAAATGTTTTGCTGCCAGTAAGCTTCATTCCTGGGCCTGTCCTGCCAGTCCCTGCCATGTTGCCTTGTATTTGCAACACCTCATTGAAGAGTCGCACTCCCCGTGCGTCGAAGACTCGGATGTTTATGATATTAAATGGGTTCATACCATGGCGGGTATCCCCTCTCCCAGGGATAACTCGATTATTGAAGGGGCTAGGTGTGTTTTCAAAACGATTTTAGGTTTGATGAGGTCTCCATAATTAGGGGGTATTATATTTTCTTTCATGAGGGTTTCATGATCATTAAGGTTCTCAAAAGCAAGAACGACCAACTTTGTAAGGACGATGACTCGAAGTGATTTTTTCGGAAATGTTTGGCCCTGCTTGTCCTGTCAAGCTTCTAAAGAGGTACCTTGCTCTTTTTTCCATCCCCTTTAGCTCAGGGGGATCTTTTTTTGCCCCATGTTTCATGGGAACAACTCTTTTTAGTTAGTTTCCCAGAACGAGCCTATCAGCTATACCACAATTAGAGAGGCTTTTCGCAAGGACCTGAGAATTGTCGGGGTTGACTCTTCCACTTTTGGTTTATATTCCTTGCGTTCGTGAGGGGCCACCTTCGCTGCTTATAATGGGGTTTGTGACAGTGTGTTTCAGTGGCTCGGCCGCTGAAAGTCCGTTCTAGCCAAGGACGCCTACCGATGATGACCTAGAAAAAAGGCTTTCAGTTTCCAAGTTTCTTGGGCTCTAGGAGCTTTCATTTGTCATTTCGCCCAATACTTTGTCACTCTACGTACTTTGTAGGGTTGGTTCTCGCCAAGCCGTCCCAAAATAAACTTATTTGCCATTACGTTTTGTCTGTTGATGTTGTGTAGTGGAGTCAAAATATGTTATTTCTGACGAATGAGCCCGCGAAGAAGGCAGAAATAAATATTTTGACGGCACGAGATACAACAGGGCCTGGGTACTAGGCCGGGTGCACCATGGGTAGCCATATCGGGGGTATATAAGGCTGCGTATATCACGTGTTCGTCATCTAGGCTTACGAACCAACCTCTCCTTGGTTTTTCTTAAATTTTTGTTTTATTTATTTTAGGAGCAACATATTCTCGATTACATTGTAAAGTCCCGTAGGAAGGGCTTTGAGCTTGAGCCTTGGTTCCTACCCAGATTTCCTGCCCGCATTTTTTCCCTTCGGGGTTTTTTTTGGGCAGGTTTTTTCTGGCCTCCGTCTGACCGCATTTACTTCAGTTTGTAAGCGGTAGCTCAGCTCTGCTAGTTTTCAGCCTTTTTCCCGTTTCTTATTTTATGTACTTGTACACTAGTTATCTCAGTTTTGCACCTGCTCCTTTACTTGATATATTTAGTTTCCATGTATGCTTAGGTCAGCTGTCCCGGAACCGCTCTTTAGGAGGCGACGTAAGTCTCGTTTGACGCAGTTAGGTTGCAGGCAATGTTACAGACCTCTAGCCAG